CTGTAAAAATGGTTGGTTTCGAAAAAAACACATTATATTGATTGATGATTTACTTCAACTTTGACCTGTACATGAAGGATTTGCCTTTTTAAAGGTAACAAAACAAAAATTTGATAAATATGTAGGTGCTTTAAATACTTTTGATTTATGAAGCTTATTCAATTATAATGAGTTAATGACAAACATACGAAAAAAAATGATAAACCATCTTGCAAATTAAAGTGGTTTTTTTAACGGAAACAGATATCAATATTTTACAAAAAAAAAAAATCTAATTAAATGGTCATAGTTGCAATGCAGTTATCAAAAAATTATGTACTCATTTAGAAAATTTGCCGTCAGATGCCATATGCCGTTTACCTATTAGAAATATGTGTATCATTTTAAACGATTTTACGCTTCGAAGAATTGCTTCTGAAAAAATTCTTCTTGTAGCTAATGACTTATTTAAGTGTTCAAAAATACTAAAAAAGAAGGTTTTATAATTAAGTGAAAAAGACGAAAATGATATCAATGGAGTTGAGTGAGTCATAAAAATTAAGATTAGTTGAAAAATTATGTTACGAAGGAGTATTGATGTAATAAGTGGCTTAGTAAATGGGACTATAAGTAGAGTGATTTCAGTTTCTAAAGATATCTCAGAAAACGTAAAAAGTATATGTATTGAGTGACCATCAGGTGAAGAACATCCTATGAAATAACTAAAATATAATTTTATTGTTATGGATAAAATTCACATTATTAGAAAAAAGTTTGCTATTTGCACTAGATATGGCATAACGATCCATAGAAGTCAAAGTTTAGGTTTAAGAAATGCTGTAGTAGAATCGGGTAATAGTATTTTTTATTGTGGTCAAATATACCTTGCTTTATGAAGGGTTACAACATAAGAGGGGTTACATCTCATAACCTTTGACCCATCTTATTTAGATGAGTTAGCTATTTTTAATATTATAGATTAAGACAAAAATTTCGATCAAACTTACAGATCTTTGACATTCCACAAAAACATGCGTATCATTTAAATAAGAGAATGAAAGATGATTCTTCAACTGCATTTAATAAAAATCAAGGATTAATTGAAGATGCAAAACTGCAAAATATTGTAGACGATTGTTGGAATATTTTAGGTCTGCTGAATAATAACTAGTCTTTTTCGTATGCAAATGCTTATATTTACAGTTTTCCATTCACAAACAATAAGAAGAATCTTAACGCATTCTAATGGTCATGATTTAATAAAAACCAAATCTTATCAATACATTTCAAAAAAACATGTTGGTATTTAACAATAGAGAGACGAAATTTATACTGAATATTTTTCCCCAAGAGAACAAAATGTTGCAAAATTTTTAACAAATCTTTGCAAAAAATCGATATGCTCTCAAAATGTTCTGAAATGTGATTTTAGTACAATAATTAGAAGCCCTGGTCGTGATCGAAGGGTAAGCCATTTTTCATTGTATAGTTGTGTCATACCATTGACCTTACTAGCAATTTTGCGTCCTTTTTCGTTAAAAGAAATCATTAATTATAATTTGGAAAATTGGCAAGAAATTAATGAATTTTGTGGCAATGGCTGTCAGTGCAAAAGTCTTTAAAGAATAGATGTGAACGTTAAAAATACTATAATCGTTTTATAGATATTATTGTTTGACTATGTAAACAAAGGAAAAAAAATATTTCTGATTTGAAAATAAGTGACATGCCTAAATTAACTATAACTATTAATAAACTTTCATATAAGGTATCAGTGCAAAATTTCAAATAGATTTTTACTTTGGGCTCTACAGTAATATATTACGTCAAGAAAATATGTTGATCGAAGTAACTGACTCATTCATTAAAAAAATAGCGTAGTCGAAGGCATCTAAAAATGCATACATGTTTTTCTTACAAAAAAATTAAAACATAACATTTGTTGAAAAATAATATAAAAACACTTTTAAGTTTGTAAATCATGCAGAAAATATAAAGAAAGTATTCAATCTTGTCCAAAAAGTTTTTTGGGATACAAAAAAAAAAAAAAATTTTTACTCAAGACATGTTGTCTTGGATCTTGCTAACTTCACGTCCGTTTTCTAATTCACAAGAGAAAAGTGTTTGGTTACCGACAGAGGCTGATGGCACAAAATTTAAATTATGAATTAAGGTTTCCATCTTTTAAAAAAATTTGTGGAATCTCACAAAAAAACCCTTTTAAAAAAATTAAAAACATGGAAAGTAAAAGTTTTATGACATAATTTTATAGTTACCTGCAGCAAGTTTGCTTAAAACTATTTTTAATTTTCGAACTACATTGTGGAATTTTGGTGTCTTACTAATAGTTTATTTATGTATCATACAAAAAGATTATCAAATAATCTGCATTTTAATTAATGGAATTTGCTAACCCTATAATTTATTCTTCTAAATATACTATTGCATTAAAAATTTTTAAGTCGTTCATTTATTTTATTCTACAGCTATATACATTATTTATTTTAACAATGTAGTTATAAATATACAAAAATTGTGAATGAGAAAGTTGTAAAATCTATTGATGAACTGGCAAATACTTTTTCAGGTACTTGAGTTAGAAAGTCCGTGGTCATAGTTATTCCAGTGAATTTATGTGCAATATTTAAAGAAGGGCAATTGTGTTTATATCGTATAGTCATAACACACTTCTTTACTAGATATTGTAAAACGTAACATCGATTTTTACAAGTTCCCCGAAAAATTTCGATAATCGCGTATTTAAGACTGGAGAAATTCATACATTTTAGTATCAATGAGAGAATTATGTTTGTTCATTAATGGACATCACTACAATTTTATAAGACGATTTTATGTTTCCTACTTTTACACATGATAATATTATTACGTAAATAGATGCTGGACCAATTGTATACTTTTATTATATAGAGCAACAGAAATACCATATTTTTAATGAAAGTGCTATAATTAATCAATATCAATTTGAAAATAAACTGACACAGCAAATTAAGTATTGTATAATAAATATATAGTATTGACAAGTTACAGAAATGGTATGCATAAAGATAGACATATATAACAATAAAAAGTTTTTATTATAAAAAAAATATTTAATCCTAAATAATACATCAAGTAATAGATGATAGACTTAAGAATATAATACATGAAATAACGCATAACTCAATTATTGCCCTACAACGTATCATTACTGCGTACATAATTTTTTTATGTTTTACATTTAGTTTATCTTCTATTAAGAAAAGTTTTTTTTATGACATAATACTATATACAATAGTAACTGAAGATCAAAGTGGAATACTATATTATGATAAAAATATACAATGGGGCCAGCAAGTATCCACGTAATAATATTATCGTGTGTAAAGTAGGAAATATAAAATAGTTAGTAAATTGTAGTGATGTCCATTTATAAACAAACCAAATTCTGTTATCGATAGTAAAATGTGTCAATTTCTCCAGTGTTTATCACGCAATTGATACAATTTTTTGGAGAACTCGTAGAAATGGATGTTACGTAGTATAATATCGTGTAAAGAAACGTGTAAAAACTATATGATATAGACACAATTGTCCTTCTTTAAATTTTGCACATAAATTCACTGGAATAACTATGGACACAGACTTTCTAACTCAACTACCTGAAAAAGTACTTACCAGTTTATTAAGAGATTTCAGATTTTTTTTATGCACAATTTTTTTATATTTATAACTGCATTGTTAAAATAAATGTTGACTACAGCTGTAGAATAAAATAAATAAACGACTTAAAAATTAATAATGTAATAGTATATTTAGAAAATTAAATTGGGTCAGCAAATTACATACATCAAAATGCAAATTAGTTGATAAACTTTTTGTATAATAAATAAATAAGCCATTTTATGATACAAAAATCACATAATGTAATGAGATAGTTAAAAATAGTTGTAAGCAAACTTGGTGCAGGTAAAAATAAAATTTTTCCATGAAAACTGTACTTGCTATGTTTTTACTTTTGCAAGAGTGTTTTTTTGTGGTATGATAAAACTACTTCTTGAGATTTATTTGCTCAGGTATAATGTGCTACATAGTTTATGTTTTTGATCGGAACCAGTGGCATACGTTGTTTTGATTGAAATTTCACAGGCTTAGAAATTTTTTGTCGTTTGAGTTTTGAAGCAATTAATTTGGCCCTATACACAAATGTTTTAATATTGTTGTTCTAAGCCTGCTGTTGTTAACAATTGTTGCACAAAAAGGACTGTACTAAGTTGGCTCTCGAGTCTCTGCAGAAAGAGGGCAAAATGTGACAGCTTGCGTTGCTTTTTCTGCTTCTGGGCGAAACATGCTTTTTTTATTCATCCATCGGAGGAAAAGAAAGAATAAAACTTTTGTAGACTGGCTGAAAAATTTATCAAAAAAACCAGTTTTATTACTAGTTGACAGGCATGCAACTCGTTTTCAATATCTGGGACCTATGCATTCAGCTCAAGAAAGTAGGGTGATGATTCTGTATTGTCTACCACATTGCAGCCATAAAATGCAACCCTTAGATGTCTTGTTTATGAAACAAGTCAGCAGTTATTATTCTCTAGCAGTAAACCGATGGATGCGAGATCATTCATACAGAACTATGGCGTAAAAAAATACTTCTTTTGTCCTTGGAACAGCTTTTCAGAAAGTTGCAACCATAGAAATAGCTGTTAATAGTTTTTGGAAAGCTGCAGTTTATCCACCGGATCAAACTATTTTTGAAGATTCAGAGTTTGCAGCATCAAAAAATTTGTAATTTAACATTTTAAAATCTTATACTTTTTAATTAAGAATCACCTAACAAAGCTGCAGCAATTACCTTAGAGTCTGCCTTAAAGAGACAGGAATCTCATCACTTCCATCTGAAATAATGATAGAACCTAAAGAGTCACTTAAAAATGTTTAAAGTATTTTTTGGACTGGTGAAAACTTAAAATTAACTCCAGAGAAAATATTTATAGTACCTGAAGAAAATCTCCTTGTATTACCTCAAAATCCAAAAATATCTACTGAAGTAACCACGACATCATCAGGACTAAACGAGGTGTCGATGACTACAATAAGGGCTGATAGCGAGTCTGAAAAAAAGAAACTCAAAACGGATGTAATAAAAACATTTTTAAACTGCTTGGATATTCTATTCAAAAAATTAAATTTTCTTACTAATGATTAAAGTACTAATGGGAATATAACAAATTCGTGGGCATTGATTTTCAAATTTAAATTATTTTAAATTTAATTACATGATTCATTTCTACTTCTCTAGACAGTGTTGTTTGGTAATTGCAAAGATATTTATGTATGTACAAAAAAGTGACTGACGATGTTTTCCTTTAATTGTGATAAAACAACTGATAAGCTTCAGCTTCACGATATATCCCAACAACTGATAAAAATGCTTAAGTTTTTTTTTACAATGTATACGCACGTAAGTTCTAAAAATGCGTTAATGCCAATTATTCGAAAAAATGTTATTAGTAATAAGAATCTATGAATTAAACTAAGTGCTTATAACTATGATTAAATAGAATGACAACTGCAAATTATAAGTATATACGTACTGATGAAATTTAAAATTATATACATAATTAATGACCACAAACAAAATAAATAATGTTTTCTTTTTGCACTTAAAAGTGATTTGTTTTTGCTAATTAAGAAAAAAATAAAAACTAGTTTTTTCCAATAATTTTAAGTTAAAAAAGGTAAAATATTTGATGTTGTTACTCAACCAGAGTTTTCTTTGTTTTCTCCGTGACTCTTATTTGTTACTTATACATGGAAAATATAAAATGTTTACAGACAATGACACCTAAGCAGCAGATCTATTAAAAGTGGCTTCCAGTACCTGGGAACTCTTAAAATGTTTTTTATCTCAAGCCCTTTAATCCTTTAATGCTATGTTCTCAGAGCCCTTATTTCATAACCCGGTAATCGCAAAGTTTGTGTGATCATACAACATAGAAAAAATTCATGTATCACTAGAAACAGCATTTATAAACCTTAAGGTTACCAGGTTATAGCGTTAAAGGCTTTGCGATTTATTGAGTAATGGAGTTAAAAACTATAGGATTGTATGGTTGTGGGCCTCAAAGCATTCATAACTAAAACATGGGAAATAATAAGTCACTGCAGATCAATATTCTTGTGGAGGCTGGGGATCTAGGAGAACTTACTACAATTACTTTCAGGTATATCTATCGAATATAATTTACTTACAATCTATGAGTCATAAAAAATTTCTTATGGGCGCAAATTTAAGCTTAGTAAGTAGGCTTTCGTTTGCCGTCTAGCTTTTTTCTGAAATCAGAAATGGTAAACCTGTATGACAGCTACAAGTAGTAAAAATCACTATAAGGCAGCTATTTCACATAATTGAAAATAATTTTGGGCCCCGAAATTTGTGATTCAAGCTAACCTTTATGCACTTTTTAACGCTGATTACAAATCTATTTTTATTTTTTACCTAGCACGTCCAAGATCTTTTTTAACCTCAAAAAACTTTAAAATAAAACAGATTTTCGTAGTTTTTGTACGTCAAAAATTAAAAAAAATATTCGATAAGTCTCTTTCATACGTGCATACAAGTACTTTTTTTTGTCATTCTTATCACTGATTTTTTTTAACCTCATAAAATTCTGGAACAAATCAGTTACTCTTGGTTTTTACTTGTTTTAAACGTAAAACAATTCAGAAAATATTTTAAAGGCTTACTTAATACTCAAGGATACTATACCACTCATTTTACTTGTTTCATGATAGGTTATGTTGCTGTTAGTCCCTAACCTTGAAACACTTATTAACAAATTATTTTCGTGGCTAACAGTTATTCTCATTATAGAAGAACTTAAGAAAAAATAATTTATTGATACGTAGCATAAAAATTTATCACTTTTTTTAAATTATGTATAAAAACTTTTTGATCGCTTTCTTAAAAATATCTTTTTTTACTTAAATAATAATTTTATTCCTAATCTAACACCTTATCAAGTCCTAATTATATTCAGCATCATTTTTTATGTATAACGTTGTGTCGTTAATAAATCTATTGCAATAGAATATCTTAACACTGTAAAATTTTTATTTGAGAAAAGCACAAATGCGTGTCCTTCTAAAATTTTTGGAACCTATGGCACCGCTGTAAATCTTTTTTTAAGTTTTCTCGTTGTTTGTTTATGATTCGTTTTAGTATATTGGAAAAATTGTATCCTTCTAAATGTACTTCTTGCCCTGTAGAAAAGATCATTATGATTAAAAATTGCCTTGTTGGCTTAAGCTTGCAAGCTAGCTCTTGTCACTTCTTTTTTCAACACAGGTCCTACTCCGTCACAAGATCCTTTTCCTTGTGCAGTGGCGGCAAAGTGCCACTCTGCCTTTATCTTAATATCTAACTCATGATTCCCAAAGTTCATGATTTGATATTTATTTTTATAGTTTTTTTTTTGGTTTCTTTGGTTTTTTATTTCAGGTATGATTGTTCATTGTGAAATATTAACTGCACACGTATCATGAGCTGTACGTTCAGATAAGAATATAAAACTGCAATAAATTATTTCATGCCCTTGTACAGTACACTGAGTGTTATTATAATGGAATAGTTGAGCAGCGTCCTGAACAACACAAGCATAATTTTTGGAAAAATCCATCTCCAACATTCCTTCATTTTTTCGCAAATTTTGGTTCTTATCTTCAATACATTATCATTGACTTTTTGCGACAAAATGATGTGGTTATAGTTTTTCCTAGAAGCTAGAAGACAATTCTAAAACATAATTATCTATCGATAAACACGACTTTTTAAGAGTATATATATTTGTTAACTGCCAAATACTAAAAATAACTTCTTCAATTTCATTTTTCTCTAGTACAAGACTTACACACTCTTCAAATCTTGAAAAGTTGAGACACTTTTTGCAATTGCCTAAATAACACTCACGTGTTGGATTTCTACACAAAACAAACAAAAAACAGTCACTGTAGCCATTTAAGGGCTCACGTAATTCTTGTGTACGTGTTGTTAAATTAGAAGCTTCAAACATAGCCTAAAAATTTTACTATACTACGTACACACACTCATTGTGTGTACCTCTTGCTTATGCCAAACCACCCCAATTATGCCTTATTTTTACAAATTGCTAGAACTTGTTGATAGTTCAGGATATTGGTCCTAAAATTGTCTATACAAAACTTACCTGGTACTATAAACTTCAAATTGCCTCACGAGTTTCCTTGTACTTTTTGGAGTTAGCGTTTGTCCTTGGCTTAGTCATGTTTGCAATTATCCAGTAAGCTAACAGCGCCAGACTAATGAACACCATAACGTCTGGAGCTGAGCTGACTTTTTCATGGAAGATTGGTGCCATTTTCACAGCTTATATTTCTGGCAGGTAGTTAAGATAAGAATACTAGTTTGAGAGGTTCAAGAATAATGCAAAAAGTGTGCTGTAATTGAGCTCAAATATTGTTTCTAATCCCCTTTTTGGAATGAGGTACAAAGGAACCGGACGTGACTATCTATGCTTTTTTTATTTCAATTGGAGCCGAGAAAAAAAAATAGTCTTGAGTTTATAAAATTGGGGACCAATTGCTAGGTCACCGTAGGAAATTATTAAGTGTGTATGTTATCAAGTTTATGTTGTCTGATTTTTTTGGGATGTTTTTAGCCACTTTGGCAAATAAGATAGCTATTATAACAGAATAAGTTGGTGTTATTATTATCTCACATAATTATCCTCGTGAATATCGTAAATTTGCTTTGCCTTTTGGGGTGCAGGGCTTACAATATTTTCTTGAGTACATGTGGGGCCTTTGAAGTCACAGTGAAAGTTGAGGTCAATGCTACTGATAGGTGTATAGGTAATGCTGGTATGGTTTAGTTTTGTTATTAATAACTCAAAAGCTTTTTAGTGTATACGATATAACATACGATGAGGATTGATAGAGATCGATAGCATTATCCTCATTAGGAGTATTGCTGTGGCTCTTATGATATTCGTTTGGATTTTTAAACTTATTGTAAGATACATATGTTGTTGTAGTGAATACGTACAAGTACAGCTTAGAATTTTTTCAGATTCGTACATTGTAGGAGTCAGAGGCGGGACAATTACATTGCTATTTACGTATCTATTGGTTCCAAAGTCTAAGCATTTTTCTGCGTCCTTTATGGTGCATCAAAAATTCACTTTTATGATGACATCCATCGGATAATGGGTCATACTTACTTCCTCTGCAGAGGACTGTTATGTTGGGTCTGTTTTTTTTAAAAAAAAGGAAATGAGAGGGATTGAACGTTTAAATAAAGTAAGACGGCTTAGCGTTAAGAACTCGTTTATTACGTTTGTAGACATCGACATTTTTAGTGTTACAGAATATTTTCACTCCGCAAAAATTTGGTTTTATGACACGTGGTAGTAACTATTATTATGTCAATAAAAAGACATTGATTAGGTTGTGATTGGATAATAAAATAGTATTTGAGGTATCCATCTGTTCGTGCTTAATAATCTGCTGTGGGTATTATGCAAGCTGCGAGTGTGCTATTACGGCTTTTTTGTTTTTTGAAAAACTGGCCATGATATGCTCTTTTACAGTCTGAAATTTATTATTTGTACGAGCAGAAGTACAAACTATATTATGATTTTACTATCAATTACATGAAATTACAGTTAACTGTATTTATATCAAGATTAAGTATTAATTGCATCAACTAGAATTTGCATTTCTTGTCAAGAAATGCTGTTTCTGAAATAACTAAATGACTAAATTAGTCTTACTGAAAATACAAACTTGTGAAGGCATCAGCTTGTGCTTGCATCTTGGTTGGTGTGTTTGTGCTCCTTTTTAAACTCAGTGAGGTTGCCTTGAAAGTTCTTTAGTCACTTTGTGGCTGTCTTTTTGATTAGCTTGTTTTATTGTCTATGTAATTAGTGCATTTTTTGCATTTAGAAATTGTTTGTTGTTTTGTGCTATACATAAGTTTGAAAATTCTGTTGCTTCAGAATGTGTTGTTGTGTTGTTAACTTTGTACGGTGTTGATAA